GTATCCCCAGGTGTGTCCCCAGTGTCCCAGGTGTGTCCCAGGTGTGTCCCAGCTGTCCCAGGTGTGTCCCAGGTGTGTCCCAGGTGTGTCCCCAGGTGTGTCCCAGGTGTGTCCCCAGGTGTGTCCCAGCTGTCCCAGGTGTGTCCCCAGTGTCCCCAGGTGTGTCCCAGCTGACCCCAGGTGTGTCCCCAGGTGTGTCCCCACTGTCCCAGGTGTGTCCCCAGGTGTGTCCCAGGTGTGTCCCCAGGTGTATCCCCAGGTGTGTCCCAGGTGTGTCCCCAGGTGTGTCCCCACTGTCCCAGGCGCGCTCACCTGGAGCAGGTGCTGCAGGAGGCGGAGCCAGCCCAGGCAGTGCTGCTGGAAGGCCTCGCTGGGGCTCTCGCTGACCAGCAGGGACAGCAGGCACAGCCCCTCAAAGCTGCAACGCCATTGGCTGAGCCGGGACACGCCCACCGACACGCCTGGCCACGCCCCGCAGCCCGCATTGGCTGCTGGGAGTGACAAACCCCACCCACTTTCCTTATATGGGCAATACAGGGCAGGGCATGGCTCTCACAAGGGATCTGATTGGTTAGAATGAAACCACACCCACCTAGGCCCGCCCACACCACTGATTGGCTGAGAGGCCCAAACCCCACCCACTTTCCTTATATAGTCAGCCCAGAGCAGGGCGTGGCTCACAGGTGGAGTCTGATTGGTGGGAGTGAAGCCACGCCCATCCTAGCCCTGCCCACAGCCCTCATTGGCTGCTGACACTCAAATCCCACCCACTTTCCTTATAAGGGCATGCCACAGCAGAGAAGAGCTTAATCATGGAATCTGATTGGTTCAGACAAAGCCACGCCCACCCTGCCACCTCCCACACCATTGATTGGCTGCTGAGGCTCCAAACCCCACCCACTTTCCATATAAGGGAAACCCAGAGTAGGGCGTGGCTCACAGGTGGAGTCTTATTGGCTGGGGTGAAGTCACACCCACCCCACACCCAGCAGCCAATCACATACAAGCCCCACCCACCCTAATTAGCCCTGCAACAAAGGAAGCACCTGATTGGCTGCTCAAAACCCCACCCACAGTAAACCAGCCAATCACAGAGTGCTAAGAAGCCACACCCCCTCCTCCTGATTGGCTGCCCCGCCCCCAGGGCCAAACCCCTCCTGATTGGCTCCTCCACCCCCAATGGCAGTTCAGACAACGATTCCCATTGGCAGCTGGGCTGGCCCCGCCCCCACACTGCATTTCCATTGGTTTTCACTCCACCCCGCCCACCCCAGAGCAGCAGCCAATCAGGAGGCGGGCGGGGCGGGCCCCGCACTGTGATTGGCCGGCGGGGCTGTCACTCACCGCGTCTTCATGGAGCCGAGGCGGGCGCTGGTGACGCCGAGGAGACCCCCGAGGGCGGCCTGGGGGAGGGGCGGGGTCA